GGGGGGAGAAGGTGGACTAAAAGAGGTTCTTGTTCTTTGTGGAGCCTCTCAGGTTACAGGAACAGGAGACGCGACACAAAGAGAGTCTGAGCTCAGGTAGAGTCTGACCTGAACAGGAACAACAGGAGTCCTGTTAGAGGAGGAGGAGGAGGAGGAGGGGGTGTCTGTGGTATTCAGGAAATGTGAAAGTGGCGCTACGAGGCTAGGAGGGATGCAAGGGACTGATGATGATGAGGAGGAGGAGATTCTTCATGCTCCTCAGGGAGGGCTGACGTCTGTAAAGGTCAGCTGCATCACCAAGGACATAATGACGCTGTTTACACACACCTGTCATCACCTCTGACCTCCTTTACGCTGCAGCTGCTTTTTAGTTTCTGCAGATGCGTTCAGGAACTGAACCAGCAGCTCGGGCAGGTGATTGATGAGGCGCTGCGGTACCATCGGGCTCGCCACCGCGGATCGGCTCCCGGCCCTGCACCCTCTGCAAGTGCACGAGGTTCCTCATCGCTGCACCGTGCATGACGAGCAAAGGTAAATCACTCCACGCCGGAGTTGCATAACACACTGAAGCTTTCGACTTTGTGCTTTTTATACCGCCTCCAGATTACAGGAGGGACACCGAGGGAACCGCACTCACAGCGAGTCCTGCTGCAGCACGAAACCACAGGAGGAGGAACGGTTACCCGAGCACAAATGTCACACAGCAGGACGCTGCGAGCGATACGGACAACCTGCAGAGTATAACCTGCAAACCCAGACGCTCCCTGAACGCATCACGTACAAACAAAGTTTTGATAAAGTGCGTTTTCACACTAGTCAGGAAAAAAATGAAAGCCGCGGTGTCAGGGCGACGTTTCCCACGTGTGAGTAACGTTTCTCTGGGTTTTGAACTGTGATGTGTAGCATCCGCGCTCACCCTGCAGCACGCGTTCTCAATACAGTCGTACATTCATCACCTTTCGGTCAGCGCCTTGCTCTGGTTGTCTCTGGCGGCCTGCAGGTCTCGCTCCAGCCGCTTCTTCTCGGACTCCAGCTTCTCCGCGTCGTTGGGCTGCAGCCGCTGCCGCGGGCTGATGTACTGCAGCTCCTTCAGAAGCTCCTCCTTCTCGTTGATGAGGATGAGGCGGTCCCGCTCCGGGTCCAGCAGCCCCGGCCACGCCTCGCTGTCCAGTTTGGCGATCTGCACCTCGATGGTGGCGATCCTGGGAGAGGAAACGAAGGAAACAGTTTCAGCTTTTTCAACAGAAATCGTCGTAAACAAACGTCACACTTTAAAATCACCTTTAAGCCCAGAATCAGGCAGATTATCAGGAGCAAACAGACTTTAAATGCACCGCGACGTCTCGCTAGTTTGATTATTTCTCACATTTTTGTGCTGAAGATCAGACTTTTTCATCTCAGAGATTCTGAGGGGTTTCCTTCTAGTATCCACCTCCAGCCTCATCGTTATCTAAGCTCTAAATCAGCTGACACGTGTGACAGACAGACGGTTACCTTCTCTTGGCCTCCTCGTACTTCAGGCTCACGCGAACCTTCTCGGCCAGTTTGTTGCTGCTCGTCATGAACTGAATGAAAACAAACAAAACAACACGATGGAGGTTAAAACTCAACGTTTTACTGACAACACTCACTGAAAACTGTGGACAGTGTGAGATTCCACTTCCACTAATGTTACACAACAACAGCGTTCGACCATCTCGACACACCAAAGAAGAAGAAAATAATAAAGAAACTGGCTGTGGAGTTATAAGTAAACTGGATTATATTTGACAATTAACCCTTTAAAGCCGGTCAGAGCGGCTATTTTTAAATCCCGGTAGCTCTGCAACCACGTGAGCTAGCACAATAATTTTTTTTGCATATGAAACCGGAAGAAAATAAATATCCTGTGGTGGGAAACTAGTTTGTGCAACTTTTTTGTATTTACAGTTTTGAGGGATAAGCCTCTTAAATTTCTCTAACTAGAAATATATGTTAAAAAAACAAAAACGATTTTCTATTTTGTAGTTTATTGCACTTTTTTTTGCAATTTATGTAATTACTATGCACTTAATGCAGACATATTATTAAAATTTAGGCTGTAATGGTTGTATTGATGTATGTCAACTTGAAATGCTCCCAAAAATGGCTCCACAGCATGTAAAAATATAATATAAGCTCTGGCGGACTTGGTTCTATGGTAGGTCTTAAAGGGTTAATTGTGGCGAACAGTCATAATCAACGAGCTCGTGCGCTGGACGCGCTCCGGCTCGGGGCTTACCTCGGCGGGGATGTCGGTCTGCGAGCTGGCGTCGGAGTAGAGCCGCGGGATGGACAGGTCGGAGTTCGCAAGCGAGGTGCTGCTGCCCCACAGCTCCTGCTGCGAGCCCGAGTCCAGCCGGAAGCCGTCCTTCAGCACCGCCAGTTTCTGCAGGAACACGAGACAAACAGAGAGGGCGTCGAAGGTCACAGCACGAACCGCAGCGAGGAAAGAGGCGCAGAATCACGACAGCATCGCAGAACGCTTAGCTGCTTAACAGCCACCATCATCATTATTATTACAACTATAAAACTTTAAAATCTGTGCAGATATTAAGTGAATTACAATTTATATTTGTGACTGTTTACATTATTTCAGTATAAAAATCACAGAAATAAGACCATCGGATTCCACCTGCGTGAGGGGACATTCCTTTCAAATGCTCTGACCTTTGCCCTCGAGTCGCATTCGATCATCGAGGAACTGAAGCTGAGAATCATTTATGAACTGCAGCCTGTTTGCACAGAGCCACTCGGTGAAAGCCGCTCAGGGCAAAGGGCAGGCGTGAAGGAGCAACTCCTGAAAGTGAGAAAGGAGACGCTGCTGCTGCTGCTTCTATGTTTGCGCTGCAGCCGCCAAAGCCGCCACGTGCCCTTTCATCTTTACGACCACGATGAAGTCTGCGGTTGGTTTTGAAGTGTGCTGAGGATTGCAGCTTATCCCTGCTTTTATACGGAGCAGAAAAATAACACTACACCTCCATCATTACAGCATTTACAGTCCCACAGTTTTATCTGCAGTTCCAGCTCCATTAACGCGTAAAACACAAATCTCTTTAAATCGGCTTCTCTGCAGATCTGTCAGCTGAATGTTGGCACTACCAAATCTCCAGTTTAACCACCTCCCGAAGGCGCT